CCCACGTTTTATTGAATAGACAGTAGGTCAAAGTTCAAGATAACCTTTGGAATTCTGGAGATTAAAGATATAATACAACTCACCGGTTACAAAAAAAATCTATAAAAAGTTTATGAAGAAGAGAAGACAAAGAAGAATATGTAGTAGTTGAATATCATGGATCTAGTTCTCGTTATGTGGTCCGCTGGCAGCCATTGCTGATGTGGCAACCATGTAGAGAAGAGAGATGAGCACAGTCAAAATGACGACGTTGACGATCAGAATCAACGTATTCTTGTCGAAGTGAGCCTCAGCGGCTTCGACGATTGATTGCTTGCGAGAGTTCACCATTTTGCGTTGTTGATCCTTAATTGATACAAGTTTGGAGAATAGTCCGTTTTGAAATGGAAGATTCAATATTTGCAATGTTAGAAGGAATGTACCGATTTTAAGCGTTTCCAGTTCAGACTTTAAAAAGGAAATTCTTATGATTGTTGGAAAAAAGATAAACAGTGTAACCGTACTTTCTCTGATAGAAATCCATCCAAACTGTTACTTTGAGCTCAATTATCTCGGTTCCTGCGAAACATATCAAAACTTCAATTAGAGAAAATACGCTAATTTATCTCTTGAAGTAATTTACAGTATGCTTATCTTAGTACGTTTGTAATTTCAAAACAAAAGGAAAAAGTAACGATTTTTTTGATTTTAAAAAACCAAGTGAGAAAATTAATTGGATCTTTAACTATCCCAGGAACGGGTTTCATTACTATTCCAGGAACTATCGTATTTCCTCTAGTAAAATCTCACCCTAGCCGTCAACTTTCAGCTCAATTATCTCGATTTGTAGGAATGGTATCAAAAAGTAGTCAACTGATAAAATATTGGGAATATTATGATCAATAAGTTGTCAGTTGACATATTTTTTACATCTTTTACAGGAAAAAAAACTGTTTTGCATAATTTAATTCTAGATTGAATTAAACTCAAAGTTTTCCATGATTAAATTTAATGTAGGCTGAATGAGAAATTTTCCAACGGATAACCGAAATTCCTTTGAAGCATACTTGTAATCCGGGCCTTCGCGGGCCCTGCCATAACTTCTTTCAGAATCAATGTTTTCGAACCAACTCAATCAGGTATGATAGAGCTCCACGAGTACTACAAAACGGTATTATTTGGAATACTGTATCTTTTCTATGAACAGAGTTACAGAGCAAAAGGAGCAAAAAAAGCAGGCCCGCCCCGGGCCTGCCGGGCCCTGCGAGAAAAGCTACTTTATGATCTGTAACTTTGTTCATAGATAAGATACAATATTCCAAATAATACCGTTTTGTAGTACTCGTGGAGCTCTATCATATCTGATTTAGTTGGTTCGAAAATATAGATTCTGAAAGAAATTATGGCAGGGCCCGCGAAGGCCCGGATTACAAGTATGCTTTGAAGCGAAAGTCCGGAAAGTACTCACATAAGCTGATTTCATATTTTATATGTCCAAATATAACAATGCCAAAATAAATAAATGTCTGAATCAGAGACTAGAAATGGAAAATTGTGAACTAAGAGTTTAGAAACCTAACGTTTTGAGGAGGCGGTCTGGCGGGTGGATCGAATAGTACTTGATAGATGAAAACGTGGATATTGATACAAACGGATCAGATAGAGAGATTTGAGGTAAATAGAAAACCACGGCAGGAGCGTATATTTCAGAGAAGAGTCAAAAGAAAACTGGAGGGACTTCGGGGCGAAAGGAAACTGAAGGAAAGATGACTCGGCCTTGTCTATCTTACGCCTGTTTTTCTGTCTTCTCTCTTGATAGCTCGTGATCTCTTTCAGAGATAAAGAGGACCTTCAAGACACTCCCCTTTTCACAATCTTTGTGTTTTCTTTCTTCTTTTTTCTCAATTCCAATCTTTTTCCCGGATCAGTAGTGATAAACGGGAGAAGCATAGGTCACTTTGTATCCATGGACTGCAATAAGTGAGATCCGTTTGTGCGAGGAAATGAAATGAACAAACAAAAAAGTGTTATCAAACAAGAGTGAGAGATATCCGAATGGTGTGGTTTTTGATTTGAGCTTATTATCATCTCCCATTTGCCACAGAGGCTCTGGGATCTCAAAATCAAAGTGTGCAGGAGAGTTGTGCGAGCACACGTTCAAGTCATATGGCTCAGTTATTCGGGAGCAGGAAGAAAGGGAAAAGGCTGCTTGACACCGGATAGCTTTTCACTTGTACACAGTGTCACTGCAGAAAAAGTGTATCAATGATAACTGATGATGAACATGAACGTCATGATTTTGAAGAGAGGCAAATGTGTACATGTACTATTATTCTGATTAAAAAACCGAAGCTGTGGGAGAGAAACGCCGGTGCTCGAGGAAGAAGGTCCCAAATAACTACCGTAACCGAAAAAGATTTCAAATTCTCGATTTTCGTACGTTTTCAGTCAATTTTTGTCACTATCAAAAATTCTTATTTTCCTACTTTTTTGGGTAACAGAAAACTTATATAACAGAAAATAATAATAAAAAAACAGAAAACTCAAGAAAAGCAGTGGAAAAATGCAAAAATGTTTTTTTAGGTTACAGTAGTGTTCGTTGTGGGACCTTCGGCGACGGCCAGGAATAAAAACACTTTTCATTGACTGAACAACTTGACTAAAGTTCAAATAACAAAATTATGTTCTTTGAACTCTGAATTTTTTCATCCGCGATCGAATCTTCAAAAAAACTGCTGCTCGATCTCTATGCATCTTTCAACTTCATTTTTCTGAGTTTAAAGTTGTTAACCCCATATGATACTAGATCCAGTTCAGAATGACATTTTGTTTTTTCCATGAACCCAGTAGAAATCGGAGCTTCATGAAGTTGGCTCACCGTTTGACATGCCGCCATCTGCCACACTCCGTCCGTCGTTTGGCACACCATTAAACCAACGACTCTCAACCCGCTGTTCTGGAACGAAACGAAGGAATTGGATAATATCATAATCAAACTTGAGCAGAGTTCATCGGAAATAATATTAATAAACAAGTAATAAGCGGGACAAACGACATCACAAAAAAAGCTAGAAAATGCAATAAAAAGAAATAACAGAAAGGAAAACACCTATTTGAATACAAACATGAATAATCTCATGATCAAACTAAAACTAATGTTTCTAGAAATCGGGAAAACTAATATTCGATCGGAGGATTTTTTCGCAGAATTGCCTGGGCAGATCCTTTGGGAAGATCATTGACTTTCTCTCCCAATTGACACATCCGTGTTTGAACTTCGTCGGTGATGATCTTCCTCATTTGCTCCGTGCTCAAACCTTTTGACGAAATCTTCTTTTTCAGATCAGATAGCGAAAATGGCTCTCCTATATAAACTTCCACAGTCTGAAAAATGAAAAAAAGTTTTCAGGTAAACTTAACAAGTATGTAACCTACATTTCCAAATTTCGGATAGTACGGCGGATGAATCGGCCAAACATCTTCCATTCTTTTGCACCACACAGGAAGTATGATTGGATCTGTTTTTGCGTCCATGACTAATCTTCCTATTCCCCATTTGAATCGGAGTGGTTCCTCGGCAGCCACGCAAACTTTTCCTTCGGGGAAGATGTGCACCCATTTGTTATCATTCAGCATATCGACGCAGAAATCCATGCCTTTTTGATAGACTCCTTCCCCACGAACACACGGAACACAGCGTCCCAAGGAGAACATTCTGAACAACGAGGACTTTAAATCTTTCTTGACGAATCTCGACAAACGTTGTATGAAACTGCTTTGTGAAACAAATGTTATGGGCAGCCAGTGTATACCGATGACGATCCTTGTAGCGCCAGAATTCACGGAACTTCAAGATACCTAAGAACGCATTGAAGATGTTTTCTAGAACAACTCAACTAACACCACATAAGAGGATCATCAATATTGGAACGATGGTTTGATACTGTAATCAGAGGTTGACTCTCGTTTTTTAGAAGTTTGACGAACGTCTCCTTGTTGTGGCATATCAGCTTGTTTGAACCTAGAAAACTTGACCACAGCTTCATTAATAAAAAAAATAAATTACCTCTGATAAACATTATTTTTGACACAGAAGTGACTAAACTCATTGTCATGTATGATTTTATCCGGTAGAATAGTGATGGTTTCTTTGGAAATGGCCACGAAAACCGGAACCCCTGCATGTCGTTAGTTTTGTCTCGCATTGTACCCGACATCTTGCTGAAAATATGTCAAATTACATCAAAAACATTCAAAATTAAAGTAAAAAGCGTGGAAAGATGTAAATTGTCTACACACCTCTAAAAAACGGCAAAATCTGCGCCGCACGTTTGCAACGCCCATTTCGCTCCACCCACATTCGCAAGCCGCAATGGACTTTTTACTCCATGGCAACCTTTTTCAATGGAAAATAATAGATTTTATTGAAGTTATATGTCCTTCCAATTTTATTCATTAAAAATTTGCATTTTTTTGCTCCCAGGAAAGTCTTAGCCATTTGATACCTGTTTTTCTGCTTGTATTGATTTTTAACAAAAAACATCGTTCGAACTTGATATTCTCTGCTATTTAATTAAAATTTTATATCTTCAATTTTAATAATTAATAATCTTTTTTCAGGCTCAAATGGGTAACCAGTACGTAAAACCACAACGCACAGGCAATTCGCCTTACACCCGGTCCGGAGTTCCACCACCGGCGCTTGTCAAAACTGGTGACAAGCCACTCCACAGGTATACCAGAACTAGAACTCAGTTGTAAATTTTAAATTTCATTTCAGAGTAAATGATCGCATGTCTCTCGAATTGCATATGGCCGACGAACGAGTCCGTGCATCCGGCTTGAGCCCAGCCGAGAGAGAATGGAGAAAGAAATGGGTCCATGTGAGTTTTCAAGGTTATAAATGAAGATGAATATGTTTTTTCTCAGGATCAACATCTTCATGCAGATGAGCCAGTCGTTGTTGATGCTGTTCATCGTCAGTTGAACCCAATTAGAACTGCGTACAGATTGCCATGGGACAAATTTTATCTTCATTACCTGAAGGTTGGTTGTATAATTTATTCACCTATTTATTAGTGAAAAAATCTGAAATTGAAATTTTACAGCCAACTTTCGGAGTTTATTACGGAACTGCCGTTAGAGTTACTGTTCCAAAGTTGCTCATGGCCTTCGTCGTTGTTCAAACTGCCTACTACTACTGGAAGTATGAAGTCAAGGTATTTTTTGTTGTAACTAATTTCTTTTAAAAAATATTTATCAGGACTGGACACACTTGAGAGGACTCGAATCGATGCCACAAAAGGAGGTTATTGTTAATGCTCCTGCCATCGAATCCAAGTTCCCAGGGCTTATGGATAAGGGACTCGCAAACCCATCTAAAGATGATTATTATACGTAAGTTTCAGCAACACTCGATACTTGAAATTAATCTGATGCGTTTCAGGCCGACGTTCAACAAGCGTACCGCGTACCTCGACGTTGGAGAGACAAAACGACCCTGGTGATTTATAAAATAACCCATATTCAGCCACCATTGGAAAATGTACTATTAGGGTGTTGTAGACGATGTTTTTATGAGTTTATTTTTTTTTGTTTTCGGACCCCTACCGTAAAATAAATTACTTTTAAAACACTGCTGACTGATCTATTTCAAGCGTTTGATTCGCTTCAGATTTTTCTCGAATTTTTGAAAGTTCTAAAACTAGAACATCTAATTGTATCTCAAATGAATTCAGGAGAAAAAAATGATGTGATGCAAAGTGATAGTAATGGGTAGCACGCAACAACTTGAAAACCTAAAGCGAGAAGGAATCGGAAAACAACAGTTCGATATGGAGAATATTTTGACAAGGTCCCTCTACCGAGTTCTAAATAATACGGTATGTCTAGCCAATCAGAAAAGTCGATGAACAATGTTTTTAGACTCATGTTCCTACTACAATGTCGTCCAAGAATCAAAACGTAGACAAGACACATTTCTCAGACAGAAAATCGGTTAGTTTTGAGTGAATTCGATTTCAACCAGTCAAATAAATTTCTCCAGACTGTGGCAATAGCACGTCCAAACAATCATCAAATTGGAAATGCAAGTGTAGTTGATATGGATATGCAAATGAGGCTTTTGGCTCAAGAAATTTGTGGTCGAGTCGAGCGAAAATATGAGAGAAAACTAGATGAAGCAAGAGAACGAGATAGGCGGGATACTGAAAGAAGACTTGTTTCGATACGGTCAGAATACGACGCGAAATATCAGCTACAGTTGGGAAAACTTGAAAAGGAAAAAGTTCGTCTTCTAGACCAGATCGCAGAAAGAGAACGAACCCTTGAACATCGAATGGAGATGCGTTCTGCTGAAAGAGAAAACGATCTTGCTGCAAAACAAAGAACAGTAGAGAATCGAGCAATCGAACTCACTCTCAACAAAGAAAACTTTAAAAAAACCAGAGAAGAATGGCAACGGAAAATGGATGGAGAGCTCGAAGAATTGCGATTGGAGAGGGAACGGTTAGAGGTTGCTGCATCGAAAACTACGGATAGAAGAAGATCTGAAATGGCGATCGAGGCTGAAGTAAACATGTGGAAGAAAAGAACGTCGGAGTTGGAGCATGATGCGAATGATACCAGAAAAAGAATAGGGGATTTGATGGAAGAGAATTTTCACTTGAAAGATCAAACACGGTCAGTCAGTCAAGTCAAAAGAGAACTGGAAGTTACAATGATGTCATTGAATGAAACAAGAGACGAATTGTCAGCGAGCAAAGTGGAAAATAGGCGAACCGGTGATTATGATCAAATAAAAGAAGAAAACGAACAGCTGAAACTGGAAGTGAGTTACTTAGTAAGCTTGTTTTCCTTATTTAACATTTCCAGATCGAACGGCTTCGTCTCAAAACCACACAACGCATCCAAACTGCCGTCGAAGAAACGATTGCTGAATACTCGGCAAAAGAATCAAAGTGGAGAAGGATTGCCGGGTTGAGTCAGAAACGAATTGAAGTTCTCACGGAAAAACTGAAGGATTCGGAAATCGAGAGAGATTTTCTACGACAGGAGAGGAAAACAATGCAGAAGATGGTTGGAAGAGGAGGTAGCTTGAGTCATAATCAGAGTCAAAGTCATCATAAATCCAATTCAAAAGTCATGTTCCAATCAATTTCTCGGTCTAACTCAACTTCTTCTTTGTCTGATGGTGAACTGGAAATTCTTAATATCCGTCAAAGGATCCAGAATCTCGATGTGATTGCAAAAGAGCTAGATGCGTCTGTCGAACACTTTTCTTCTGGAACTTCCCGCAAAACATTAGATAAAAATGAATCTAATGTGGAGCTCTACGACGATTTCTGTCGAGCACTGCACAGCGCAGTATTGGATGAGGAAGGATCTCCTGTTCATATGACGTCATCACCTCAGAAACCTTTGAGAAATACTCATCGTTCACAAGCAAGTCCAGTTCATTCTGAAAAAGATTCCGAAGAAGAACAACGAAAACCGGAAGAAAATTCCTGGTTGAAACGTGGAATGCGAGTCGTCTCTCCACCAGCGATTAAAAAATCATCACAGCCAGACAGGACAGTCTCACTTGCCGCTGTTAGGAAAATTGAAGAATCAGAAAATAACAAGAACGAAATATCTTTGACAACAAAACCCGATGAACCGGAGATGTCTGATTTCGAGAGAAGATTGAAAGGTCGAGAAGCTTCAAAAGATCAAACTGAGAGACGGAGTCGAATTATGGAGGTAAGAAAATGTTTTTTAATTTGTTTATAATTTTTTAAAAATTATTAAGCATATATTAACCTGAAAATAATGTTTTTCAGTTGGCTACTCCTTCAAAACCATCGCAAGAAGTAAGTACATCAATCGAAGGACCTCCCAAACCGACATCTACTGACAATCCCATGTTTACCGGGGTTGATCCAGTTATGGCAGAGTACATGAAGAAAGTTCTAGCCGCCAGGGCTCAAACTCCAACAACAAACACGGTACATACTATCATTCTTTAAATAGTAAAATTATTTTATGGTTACAGGTTGAGAATCCTACAGTACAAACGTCTCCTGTTGCTGCTGAAGTCCCACGAGGACGAGAAGTTGAAGTTACCCTAGCTGACGAATTGGATCTTGAGCTAGACCAACCAACAAAGGCAGACGATGAATGGTGGTGAAGAAAACTAAATTTCTGTACATTTTTGAATGTTAAGTTTATTACATTTCTTAATTAAGAATATTATTGTTTTATATTATCAGACACATTATCACATTTGGCTTTATAATTTCTCTATCGATCTTTCTACCCATCCTGTCATTCCAGTTATCTAGTCGACCTCTTTCAAGATCTCTTATGTCTTATTCCCGATTTGCATGCTAATAAATAGTTTTATTCAATGACTTTCGAGTTGGAGAGAATCTTAAGGAGTACTAAACTTCTAAATATCTAGTACACCACATAAAAAAAGAAGCACTTCCTCGTCAATCATAAGACGATGTTCTCGCATAAAAGTGAAACCTTGTAAACGTCTTCTCGGCTACTCTCGACGCCTCCGTCTCTATTAGCATAACCCGTTTCCTCTATAACTTCCTTGTTCTGCACCTTTTCTGTGTTTGATTAATGTGCTCTCAGCTTCTTGCCAATAGGAAATTTTCATGTTCTTTTTCTTTGTTTTTAGCGTAACAAAAATCTGAAAAATACTAATTTTATCTTTATGAGTCATGAAATATCCTGAAAATTCTTTCAGATGCACTCAAGATAATCACAAGTAATTACGACATTTCGAACTCTGAAACTATACATATTCATGCTTAACCCAGTAAGTTCTTCTTTTCCTCCGGAAATTTCCAGAATCTGAAAATTTCAGCATATCCACGGAATGCCACGTCGAGTGCGTTTAGTTGTAGGTTATCAAATAATAAAGACATGTCTTTAAAAACAACTTTTTTCAGGACTGGGTTCTACTAATAGTAATCATCATCGCAGTTTATACAGTTTTGAAATATGACAGTAGGTTTTATTTTCAAAATTAAAAAAAAAACGTCAACATTGAACTCTTCCAGGCGATTTGGATAGCAATAGGATAGATTTGCAACCTGAAAAGCCAACATGGAACAAGGAGGACATTCGAGAAATGTGTCAGTTTTTGGAGCACGAAGTGACAGGACAAGAGGGTGACCAATGGGTCAAGGTAATAGAAGGGGAGAACACGGGATTGGAAAACAAAGGGGGGCGAGAATCGATAATTGCTAAGCCAGAGGATGTCTGTCCTATTGGTGGTTTTCTTGAGAACTTTGTTTATTGACTTTATGCTGACAACATAAAAAAATTGGCAACAATCAGCAATTCAGGAAAAGCTATTTTGAAAAGGAAAAAAGGAACAAGAAAGATATTTAACTATTGTTTCCCATCGATAACGACTGTATTCCAGGGAAACGAATACGAAAAAGACCTTCGTCTTCGAGGAATCACTTTAGTATTTAGACATGGAGAACGGTTCGTTTCCTTCCAGAATAATTTTTTTAAAAATGTCAGGATTTCAGATCCCCCGTTTCGAAAGTTGACGACGAAGTTGGCTGTCTTCCGTACAGAGATTCTGACCGAAAAGCGTTTGCAGCGTATAAGGAATTAGCCGAAAGTGAAGAACTTCTTGCGTTTCTGAAGTTGGATCCTCAGTTGAAACAGTTTCCAAGAGTTCCATTAGAGTAAATTTTAACATTTTGTATTTAAATCTATACAAATCAAAGTTTCTAGTGCGAAATGCGTCAGTGGGATGTTGACTGCTGAAGGAGCCATACAACATGTGAAACTTGGAAAGTTTTTCAGACATCGATATGAGAAGACTAAATTATTTGCCGACGGTAATTCAATAATTAAAAATCTTCAAATTCACAATTTGTTATTTTTAGAAAATCAAAGAATAGTAGCTGACGTCGTCAGCAGTAAATACAACCGAACAGTTCAATCGGCACTAGCGTTCTCTTCTGAATTCCTCTACAAACAACGCTCACTGATGGCTCCGATTCAAATAAAAGCATCAAACTTCTCGTATCATTGCGTGGATAATTACTGCTCTTGTCCGATTCACAAATCAATCCGGAAAATCTACGAAGAAGAACATCTCAATCAGTTTAATGAAATGAAATCAGAGGATGTGGTTGAAGAAGAAAAGAAGCTTCTGTCATTCGAACAGTTCTCCACTTCTTTTGACCCATTCCAAATGATCGACGTGGGGCTTGGAAGATTCGTTTGCCGTCGGAAGACACTTCCGTGCCGTTCTGAAGAATGTGTCACTTTGGATTCCTTCAACAAAATGATTAATTTAACAACGACTCGTGGTGGTAGAATGTTTGATGATAGAATTGGAGTTTCAAGAAGACTACAATCAATAGAAGCATATCCAATTATTACGTATCTTGCGAATTCAATCTCTAAAATTAGGAAGTTTCCACATTCCAATTATATTCAGGTTAGTTTATTATAAAGACTGTTTAAGACCTTACTTATTTTGAAGATCTTCTCGGGCCACGATGTTACCGTTGGTCCGATCCTTCGTGTTCTCGGAATCCCATTCGTTGATCCACCTCATTACACATCAAGAATAGTTTTTGAAATATACGAGCACACTAACGAAGGTCTATACATCCGGGTTCTTTATAATGGAATTAATCGAACATTAGATGTCAGATTTTGTCAGGTATGCTCTAAAATCTTTGAGCTAGTTACCCAAGGTATTCGTTCAGAATGACGACTTGAAATATGGAATGTGCAAAGCATCGGCGTTTGAGAAGTTTGCCAAAAGTGGATTGTTTGAATTGGCTGGAGTTTCAGAGTTTAAAGAAATGTGCTATGTCTGAAGCTTTAGAGTATTTTTATTTATATCAAAACTTCGTGTATATAATGATTGAAAGTAATTACGAGTCTAACATCAAAAATATCATTATCTCCTATTGAAACATTTCGAAACAGTATACTCATAATAAAACTATGACCCTCTATTCTCTCTACTCCGATTGCCTATGTGGCTTCTCTGTACAAAAATAATGGACGAATCGATGAGCGAACGAACAAAAGTGGAAAAACGGAATGGTTAGTCGGGTGGGCGATGGAAATGATATGTGCTTTTTCTGCATTCGATTATCGTTGACATATTTCAGGAAATCGTGGCTTGTTTGTAATGAATTGGGCTTCAAAAGCTCGGAGTGCGTTGACTCCGAGAATTTGGTTCACTAATAAAAGTGGAGAAGATGATGGAACACGAAGGAATCGGAGTGTGTGAGTTTTCTACTTTGATAGCTTCAACAAGGGAAAGAACCTATAAAACCCAAATGGATTCCAGAATCGTTCGGCCCATGGATGCAGATACCAACACATCAGAGGAAGGTTGCTGGCCTGAATTGAAAGAGTTCTGCAGGGCACATGCCGTCGAGGTTTCCCTTTTTAATGACATTTTGATATTTTATGGTTGCAGTGTACAACATTTGCTCTATTCCTGCTATTCGGAATCTTCTGTATCTTCAATGCATTTGGTGAGTTCTTTTCTATTTCGATTTTCTCTCCCTACCGCCTATAAGTAATCCCACCATTCTCAGTTTTAGGATTTCTGGGAACCAACGAGCTGAAACTTCGTTATGATCATTATGAGCAACTGGTCCGAAAGCACTGTCAATTTGTGGAAGATCGAGATTTGAATGGATCAGAAGGGAAAACTGAGCATCCAAATGCCACTTTGGTATCCTTGTTGGCTGTTGTAAGGCATGGAGATCGGTATGGATTAGTGATGGATGGAGGATGTCAAATTGCAACCGAACAAGAGTCTATGGAATTTGATAAATATTTGGCCACGATAGAGAAACAGAAAAATCTTTTCGCCATTCCGGTAAATCTTGCTGATAAAAAACTAACACCGAGTAAAGACAAATGCGCAGTCGGGATGCTGACTCCTCGAGGAGCAATCCAGGAGTTTATGATGGGACGATTTCTGTTCAGCCAGTACAAAAACACGACTTTGTTCAGTTAGTTTTTAGATGAAATCTTTTATGAGAATAATTTGTGAATGTTTTCCAGATACTACGGACACCCCAGTAAATATTACTGTAACATTCTCTCATTTACAAAGAACATTTGATTCTGGTGTGGCTCTTGCTAGCGGGCTTTTGGATCAAAATCAGACGACGATAAGAACTCCAATTGAATTCCAGCAGGGATCAGTTTATTACGGATGCACTGATTCTGGATGTGAATGCGATGAAAACATCATCATGCTGCTAGAAATGTCAAAAGCGGAAAGACAAGGATTATATCGATTGGAAGTTGAAGAGAAAACTCAACAAGTCGTACAGAAGTTGTTTGCTGAACTGAACTACAGTACTCCAAATATGGATCCTCTAGATATAATTGACAATTTGGTTTCTCGGTTTGCATGTCCACGAAAACCTCTCCCCTGTGATGACAGATATTGTGCATTATATTTATTTTTTGGAGATGTAAGTTTTTTCATTCCAAATGAAATTTTTAAAATTGATTTCAGATCTTCGAATACTTCTCGAAACAAAGTGCAAAACTTTTCGATTTGAATATTGGAGTGGAGAGACAATATCGTGTTTTGAGTGCTTATCCAATTCTTCGATACGTTGGATTAATGGCTGAAACGAATGTAAAACAAGTCAAACTGTTTTCTTCTCATGATACGATTGTTGGAGCGATTTTACGAATTCTCACGGATTCCGGAAAATATACAGATTGGCAAGTGTTCGCAGCTCGGATTGTTTTTGAAGTGAGTTAATTTTCACCTACAAAATGCGAAATTTTTCATTTACAGATCTATGAAACCGCTGAAAAAGTAAAGCTGCTTCGCGTTGTATACGATGGGCAGGACATAACATCGTTGGTGAAATTCTGTAAAAGTCTGGAATTCGGATTGTGTCCAGTTTCGGATCTGAAGCAATTCTTGGCAGTTGGAATATTCGAGATGGCCGGATATAAAACTTTTGAGCAAACTTGTAAAGATCATCGGAAAGAATTCTATTTCGTCTGATAAATAAATTTCATTTCTTATTGTGTTGTTGTCGTTTAATGGAAACATTACTGTTGTTGAACAGTGTACAATACCTATGAAACCAGAACGCATCTTAAAAGAAAACGAGAGACACTTCCACTTCCAGAAAAATTCGAAGAATTATGTGAAATGTCGAGTCCGCCGGGAGAAGACTTTGAGAAAGTTCTTAGTACTAGCAGTCGACCTCACAACTACTGTAGTTCTGAATCATCAATGTCAGAAGATGATGGAGAAAATGAGCATGTTTTGAAGCATGGAGCACCCGCTGAAGCGTTGACACCAGACTCAGAACGAATGGTAGTTTTAGGAAAAGATTTAGTTCAATCTGCACCCGGAAGTATAGTGCCCACTGAAAACGCTTCATGGATAAATCGAATCAAAAAGTGGGTATGGGGGTACAAAAGCTTGAATCTTATTTCCATTGTTAAAGAGCTGGAGCTTCAATGATGGGAAGTATGCGTCCATCGAGTTCAAGTCAAGAGACACTTCCAAGAGAGGAAACCGAAAAACAACACAAGAAAAAATGGAAAGCAAGATTGTGGTCGACATGGAATAATATTAAATATTCAAGTAGGCTAAAATATGCCTAGAAATCAATAATAATGATACTTAGGCACATGGATGTCGGATAGAACAGATGAATACGGCGGGGAAAATGATGTGGTGTTTTTGGGAAAAAGATATTCGACGAATAAAAATTGTAAGTATTAAATTCAGGGTTTACAAAAAACAATTATTGCAGTGAATGGTGTTAGCATAGGATTTGAAGACTTTTGCTCTGACTACTATTCGAGGCTGTGGATAACTTATCGAACGGATTTTTCGCCTCTTCTGAAAACAGATGTAAGAAACTCCATATCTGGAAATAAACAAATTTTTGAATTCTAGACGACAACAGATTGTGGATGGGGATGCATGATTCGAACGACACAGATGATGGTTGCACAAGCAATTATGATAAATCGATTTGGAAGAAATTGGAGATTTGTGAGACGGAAAAAGTCTCATGTAACTGTCAATGGAGAAGAAACGGAATTCGATACAGAGAAGATGAAGGAGTGGATGATTCTGAAATTGTTTGAAGATAAACCATCTGCACCTTTAGGAATTCATAAAATGATTGAAATCGCTGCGAGAGAGAAAGGAAAAAGAGCTGTAGGCTGTTGGTATAGCCCATCAGAAGCTGTGTTTATCATGAAGTATGACTCTCTTCTAATATTCTAGAATTCTGATTTTCAATTTTTCAGAAAAGCAATCACCGAATCAGCGTCTCCTCTGACTGGTGACACTGTAATGTATCTTTCGATTGATGGAAGAGTTCATATCAGAGATCTTGAAGTAGAGACAAAGCACTGGACGAAAACTCTGATGCTAGTCATAGTAGTAAGATTGGGAGCAGCTGAACTGAATCGTATTTATGTTCCTCATCTGATGCGTCTCTTTTCTATGGATTCTTGTCTTGGAATCACTGGCGGACGCCCTGATCATTCTTGTTGGTTTGTTGGCTATTATGGAGATGTAAGTCGAGGTGCTCAAACTCGAATATTTACAATTTTTCAGCAAGTGATCTACTTGGATCCCCACGTGGCACACGAATACATTCCAATTGATATGGACTTCAACACGAGTCAAGAAGATCCTAAGGTGTGGCTTTTGATTTATACATTTTAACAATTAATTTCTAACAGCAAAAAAAAATTAATCAAAAATTATGTTTTCAGAAGCCCAAAAAGTGTCCGGAGCGAAGTTATCACTGTCGTCTCCTCTCGAAAATGCACTTTCTCGATATGGATCCTTCGTGTGCTCTATGCTTCAGATTTGAGTCTAGGGAGCAGTTTGATCAAGATATGAGGCAGTTGAATTTGGTATGTTAATCGAATTTTTCGAAAACTACAGTAATCCACAAAAACCTTGAAACTTGATATGACTGAAATGGAAAGGTTTCTAATTTTCGACAGTTCAAATTTTGTAGTAGGGTTACTGTAGGTCTCCAATACAACCTCTTATGATAACATTCCTTCTCCGCCTGCTCATTCCAATTTCATTTTTCAGTCTCAATTCATCGACATCGATCAAGGAGAGGAGCACGGAATGAAACGAGTACGAGATCCTCTGTTCAGTGTGGTTTACGGAGAGAGACGCAGAGTTCCGAGTTACGAACGAGAGGTCTCGGAGTCGGATCAAGCACAAGCGGATAAGCACGGTTTTGAGATGCTGTGATAATTTGTGTAGATAATCTTTGATGAATATATTTGAACTTCCTGTATACAGTACATTCTTGAAATTATTGGTGCTCTTGGCGTAATATGTATTAAAGTTGTTATATTTTTATGAAAGAAATAAAATGCTTGGAATCTACAGTATCTTGTGGGAAATTCGAAAAAGGGGATGATGGGAAGAGAGAGAGCGCTTTGAAAAATATGATAGACAATTTCACAGGATGTCCTGACGGAAATCAGAGGAAAAATCATGTGATGATTGAATGTTTATTTTCGTTGCAAAATGAATCAAAGAGGAATGCTCCAATAATTTTCTAGGAAAGATCACATTGAATTCCTCAGGTTTCTTATAGCTCAAGACAAATCAGAAGCGTCTAGATAGATTAAGCATACTGTAGATCTCAACATTAAATTTACCATGAAACCTGTATTAGAAGGCCCCCCCCCTTCAAAATGTGTTGTACGAAATCAAAAAATTTCGTACGTTTTCAGTGAAAAATATTCTGAAATTTTCAAATATTTACAGAAATTTGCTGAAACACACTTGGAAAACTCGCTCAATTTTAGTGAAATTGATAGATCTTCATGAACTTGGAACGAGAATTCAACTTTTCTATGAAAAATTTTGGAAATTATGGCCGAAAAAAAAGGGCCCCTGTAATATAAGGGTCATATGAAGGTATTTTGGAATATTAGAAGGACCCGCAGCTCTAATACAGGTTCTACGGTACCCGGCCAGATTTCTGAACCTATAGTAACCCTTTAGCATGGCGCATGGCATAAATCCATTAGGTTCCAAACAACAAAAATGTTTACAAATAGCCCTCAAATAGCCCTTCGGCATGACCTCAATCCGTTCTCAAGTGGTCTAGTGAACATCTGTGCATGTTTCAAAAAAGACACGAAAATTCTCTCTTTTACTAAAAAAATGTCTTGCAATTTTCGAAAACTTTTTGGGTCACATCGTCAGTTTTTTGTATTTTTTCTATTTACCCTCCCATTTTCCCATGAACGGTGAAAGTGTGATTTTACAACTAATTTTGGGTCGTAAATATTTTTCAAATCCATTTTTTCCCAGAAATGGTAAGAAGGTAATTGAGGTGTCTAGACTCCTCCTTTTTCTAATAGTGACCTTTTAAACGAATAGGCACAGCAAACAACCGTTTCGAAATAATGGCTTGTAATTTTAGAAAACCTACAGTATCCCGAGTTGGAGTGACAAACAATGGGAGGGCATGTGATTTTTGATCAACTAGAATGGACTTATTTTTAGAACACCATGTCGTAATTTTTAACACTATGTCGTAATTTTTTTTCGATATTTCAAAATCTGTATAAATATGTATACAAAATCTGTACAAAATCTGTATTTCAAAATCTGTATAAATTTGTATGTATTATGCTTTTACTAGAATCAGCTGATTAATCGATTTTTTGAAATAATATCTTAGAAAGTCAAATCAAATAAAACTTTCTGAAATTTCAGCCAAATACTTACATTTTGAAAAGAAGGATTCGAATCACCTATTAAAAATGGGACATGAAAAGGATAAAATCAAAAAGAGTTCGGTTTGAAAATTCTGGCTTTACGGGGCTCAGTTGTTACCTTGAAGCCGTCCGCCTGTCTAGACAGGGTCCCCTTTTGTTTTCCTTTTGTATTCAGATTTTCTTCTCTCTCCGTCTCTATATCTCTTATCTTCATCTGTTCTTGCAACTTCTGTATAAATTTTTCTGTCAGCTTATGAATATCTAAACCTTATTTTGAATAATATTTCTTCGTCAAACTATATAATAATTAAAATTCGTCAAATAATATATTTCCAGAATGGTAAAAAAGATTTAAAGTTACAAAACCTTCAACTGAAGAACTTTATGATGAACAATGATTTAAAAGTTTCCATTATTTTTCTGGTCTTAGTATTTTAGTCAGAATAATTAAAAATCCGTTCTGAAATTTTTGTTCTGGCATCTTCCCATGTTCCTCCTCTCTTTCTCTCCTTTACCATTCCTCTTTAATACATTTGTCCCCGCTTTCTCTCCATGTGTCCCTCTCTGTTTTTGTGATGATTCAGAATGCCAACCGCCTCTAAAAGCTCCTCCCCTTAATCATATCTTTTTTCTGTCCCGCCCATTCGTTTCCAGATCATTCCGACTCCCCTTTGTCCATCCGTCAGCCAACAATTTCATTTTCAATTTCATTCTCTCTCCTAGAATCCGTTTTTTGTTCCTCACTTCTCTCCCCATTCACTGTTTCATTTCTTGCAGACATACCATTGATCCATTGAAAAAAATAGAAAGAGAGAAAAAGAAGAGAATCTTGAAAGCTCATCAGGATGTTCTCCGTTCCATTCCTCACCTCCCTGACTAGTCATCTTGGGACAACTGCCATTGATGATGCAAGTGACAGTCTCTCGTGTCTCATCAGTGCTTTCCTCTTCATCATCGCTGCGATCCTGACTTCCGCGAAGACGTGAGTGTTTTATTTTTGCGAAAAAAAGTTTGTTGGTACAATATCTATTGGGTATTTCCAGCAAGGATTGAAAAATTTAATTCATAATGAACAATTTTGGGTTGGGATTTTTGAGTATGTTATTAGTATCAAGATCGTTTTTTCAACATTTCTTAAAACAACTTTCTGGAAGATATGGAATTGAGAATAAAATAATATCTGTAGGTTAACAGAGGAATTACAAGTACCGTAAACACTTCAATACATAGAACCCTCCCCCTCCTAACTTTCAATTTTGAGCCAATTTATCTCGGTTCCTATGCAAGACATAAAAAATGTGTCAACTGATAAAATGTAGCTGATATTATGAGAAACAATATGTCAGTTAACAACTTTATTTCACAGGAAATGAGATATTTGGGCTCGAAGCTGACGCGTTAGAGGACGTTTAGAGTGTTTACGGTATCTACAATAATGGATACCTAGATTTTAGTTAGTTTTCTATTTGTATTTATTTTGTAGTTAAAACTGAATATACCACAAAAATTTTGATAAACCAAATAAAATTCCCTTCCCCCTCCCATGAATAACAATTTTCAGCTATGTCGGATCCGCAATGGAGTGCTGGGTTCCTCAAACGTATTCCGGAGAGTGGGGAGAATTCGCTGAAAACTACTGCTTCCTGAAAGACACGTATTGGTTCCCAAGCAAAGAAGTGATGAGTGATATCCCTGAATATCACAAAGAAGAACATCGTCTGTCATACTATCAATGGTCCAGTATGTATATGGCAATGGCTGGACTCGCATTCATGATTCCAAAGTTCCTCTGGAAGATGTCTCAATCCTACACTGATCTTCCACTCATTTATTTCTGTGACACTGCCAATGCGATTCGTTCTGAAACTGCAGACAACCGTAAGGAGAAAGTTAAGGAGATGGCGGTTTTCATGCGTTCCAAGATCACAGCTGTCCATGCTCCAGGATCCATCTCGAACGTCCGAATGTATTTTGTCTATGCCATTATCAAGATTCTCTATCTGTGTATTGCTGCTGCCCAATTCATTGTTCTCGGATATTTCTTGGGACAAAAGAAGAACTTGCTTTGGGGATGGACTCTTTTCATGAATCTGATCAATGGTGTCACCTGGGAGACTACTGGATTGTTCCCTCGTCTAACATTCTGTGACTTCACGGTCCGTGAAATGGCCGGAAACAATCGTGATGAGACTGTTCAGTGCGTTATTGGAATCAACGAATTCAATGAGAAAATCTTCCTCTTCCTCTGGTTAGTTAAAAGATGACTTATTCATTTTCTGAAAATTATATTTTTTAGGTTCTGGCTCGTTTTCCTTTTCTTCTCTACAGTGGTCGCTCACGGCTTCAATGCCTCGCAAATGGTCAAGCCATACTTCATCAACAGTCTTCTCCATACTCTTCGTAAACCTCATGATCAGAATCAGAAGAAATTGTTCATGAAATTCGGATACGACTACCTCACCATGGACGGAAAACTCATTTTGAGCTTTATCAAATCTCAGAGTGACCTTGTTGCCCAGGAAGTCGCCGTCGCGATGTACAACAACTACTTGGTTAGTTCATATTATGAGAAACTGAAAAATCAACTATCGTTAAACCTGTATTAGAAGGGCGGGTCCTCAGGCTTCAATTAGAGGGGCCCTTCTATTTTTTTAGTCATTTTTAAAACTTTTCATCGAAAATTCGGTGAATTCTCTTTCAAATATCATAAAAATCTATCATTTTCACTCAAACTGAGCAAGTTTATGAGTAAATTTTCGAATTTTCGAAAGATTTTTCAATGAAAACGTACAAAAATATTTAATTTCAAACTACAAACTTTGAAAAGGCTTTTCTATTACAGAGGACCCTTCTATTTTCCCAACTTCCTCTCGAAGGGCCCTTCTATTAGAGGGGTCGTTCTATTGAAGGGCAATTCTAATGAAGGTTTTACTTTAAATAGATTATTTCAGGAGCACCTCAAAGCTACTCGTCCATCCATCACTCAGGAAGACTTGCACAAAGGGATCGAGAAAATGAAAAAAATTCAAATCGATGAAAAATAGATTACGGCTTTTTCCGAATCCCCTTCCTCTCCATTTTTAATCATGTTCGTCATAATAATGCCTTTTAATCCCCAACCCCTTTTCCCTTCTTTTTGAATATTCTTTTCCATCAATCCGATGTTCCTTTTTTTCCGGGTAAAATACTACCATCGTGTAGTAGTTCCATCCAAATCCCCGTGCCATTTTCTTATTCTTTAACAATTCTTTTGGGTGATTCGATTCGACGATAAATTCCATTGCAAGAAGTTTATTGGTTTCAAATATATACAAGAAAATGAGATCATGAAAAAGTTTTAAGTAATATTGAATTCATGTGAAAAGAAAAAAGCAAAGATACTTTAAAACAAATTTGGAGAGAAGTTGAGGGTAAATGAAGAAGAAGAAAACTGAACAGTGTGAGAAGTTTAAAGAAGAAAATTCAGAATTTAGAAAATCTATTCTTGGAATTCAAGTTCATCAAGAACTCGATCAATATGCTCGACAGCAGACAATCCGAGACCTGCCCAAGTTTTGTCATCAAGTACTTTGACGTGAGATTGGAGAAGATCCATATCTGTTTGAGCACCTGTATCACGAAGAGAATCCACATTATCTTCGATGAAACGGAGGCGGTGACGGACGATCTCAGCTTCGCTTTTTCTAGAAATCATTGTAATTATAATAGTTGGCTATTTTGCTAATTCCCAAGTATCAAATGAACTCACATTGACTCAGCGACATCTCCGTTACTCGAATATCCAGAACTGAGCTCTCTTGGAGAAAATGCTCTTCTATCAGAAGTTTCGAATCCATTCGTGTTACTTGAATAACTTGTGACACCTCCTGGACTCATTGGACCACTTTGAAGAGAAGCGAATTGAGATAAATCATGCATTGATTGAGCCTTCTTTTTCGATTTGCTCTTTCTCTTCTTTCCTTGATAAGCAGCAACGAGTCTCTCCATTTCTCTGTGATGACGGAGAGCTGCAATCGATTGAGGGGAGTGTCCATTGGAATTGATCAGGGCAGGATCTGCTCCGTTTTCCAGCTGAAATTCTAGTTTTAGATATTTATGTAGAGGGAAACGCTACCATATAAAGTGCAGCATCCAAATGATTGTTCATTGCAGCCAAATGAAGGGGAGTATTGCCACGTGTATCTCTGAGAGTCATCACATAGTGTCTCTTCTTCTTGCTGAATGCATTCAATAGCTGGGACAGGACTGGAACACTTCCAGCATCTGAAAAATCAAAATTTAAAAAGTAAACCTTTCACTTGATTAATCTCTTACAAGCTGAGCAATGAATTGCATTGGCCTTGTCATTAGTTGTCCATAAAATAGCATCAGATCCAGATCTATTCAAAATCCATCTGACAATATGTTCATGTCCACAAAGACATGCAATATGAAGAAGTGATTGTCCTCGGTTACTCACTGATCCCATTTCACTTCTCGCTTTTTCGACCAAAAATCGAACAGTTCCAAGACACCCTCCCTGGACAGCATAAACACATGGAGTACATCCAAACTCGTCTCGATCATTAACCATTTGGTTATCAAACTTGATCGCTGCTCGAAGAAATTCATTATTTCCTTGTGCGGCTGCCACATGAACTGGCAACATTTTACAGTTGTTGTCGAGAAGAGCAAGTGCTTTCCCGAACTTTCTGAGAAGCCAGATGGACATGTCAGTATCTCCACGTGCAACAGATGCCATCAGAATAGATGTACCATTGACATCCCGGGTCATTGCACTGTTCATTGTTGATTTCACAGGCCCTCCAAGCAACATTTCGAGAGCCCGCATATCTGAAAATCAGACTTTCAAAAAGTTCACTTTCCAGATTTTCATTTCAAAATACTTACCCTAGCACCTGTAACAGAAGAGCCCCTTAACTTTTAACTTTGAACTCATTTATTTTGGTCTGTGAAAGATATAAAAAAAGCAGAAAACTAATAAATTGTTTATCATAATATCACAATTATTTTATCAGTTGACACATTTTTCATATCTTTTATAAGAGCTTAGAAAAATTAACTGAAACTTGATAGTGTGGGGCCCTTCTTTCACAGGTTTTACGGTAGCTCTGAACCCCATTGATATTCAATAGAACCGATTTATTCATACCTCCATGAGCAGCTGATATATGTGCTGGAGTTTCTCCATTCGCCGACTGGATGTCCCTTAGCTCAGGAAGTCTGTCCAGTAAGTACCTGAAATCTAGTCAATGACCTGATTTCTTCGCCAGCTTTGTTTGCTCTTCATTCTCTCAGTTACGCCCGTATCAATTTCGAGAAGAGAGGAGAGAAAAAGTGAGGTACTCAATTGGTTCCTGTTTTCTTTCTTTTTTGAAATATTCACACTCACTTCAAAATATTCAAATCTCCAACACGAGCGGCCATGTGAAGAGCATTTTGACCAATAGTGTCTTTTGCGAGAAGCTCATTATTTGAGAATCTGAAAATGGGAAACTGAAGTTAGGAAGGAAGACTATACATCTAAACCGATCTTTGCTGTCATTCTAGCACAGAAATGGGAGCTGTGGAAGAGGTCACACAGCGAAAACTACTGTAACCAAAAAATATGTTTATTTCACGATTTTTTATTTTCGGAAAAATTTTCATAGTGAAAGAGATGACTGAAATCGCATGAAAAATGCAAAGAAAGTGTTATTTTTAGGTTACGGTAGTTGTCGTTGTGGGACCTTCGGCTACGGCTACCGGCATTTATCTTCCATAACTCCGATTTTCGTACCGAATAAAGCCCTCTGAACCATTATTCATACAGTAACCCTGGCCTGACTCACCTCGCCAAACATTGCACATGCTTATTGGTAATCGACATGATGACATCTTCACACACATGACTCTCATCCAATGAACTTTCATCACCAATTATTTCTAACGGGAGGTAGTCACCATTACTGTAAGTATACTGTAGAATATATGCCATTGTCTTTTAAAAGACTTACTCTTCAAGAGATCCATTCGGACCACTTCGTTCTGATGACATTGAAGTGGGAATTTGAGGCTAAACAGGAATACTGAAATAGTTTTTTTTCAAATGAAAAATTTATTGGTAATTGATATCATAGAGAGTTATCAAGTCGGGAGGAAAACTGTTTGATCTTTTGCGCTCCGGAGGATTAAGGCCGTGGTATCGAATGAGCAAACTGCATGGAGATTTTTTTCCGGAGAGTTCAGCAATGACGAAACATTAGAAATATTAAATAGTTTAAGTGTGATGTATGTACTATCCAATGTGTAATACCTCTCAAGGGCTAGATTGTGTTGTAATATTGAATGCATTACAATCTCAAAAAGAACTCTCTCTCTCGAATGTGCAAACGAACACAAAACGAATCAAACGAGAAGGAACAAAAAAGAGGGGGGGGGGGGGGGAGGAGTGAAGATGGAAATAAACCGAAATTCTTTTGTGTCTGTTGACAGTACGACAGAAGTAAACTTTTTTTCTCGCATTCAAACATTAGAGACAAAATCAAATAAACACAAAAAATGAGCACGAATCAGAGACTGTAGACATTGAAAAAAAATCTTATGAATTTCAATTTGTTATGCTGGTACAAAAAAATCGGAGAACCGAAGAACCCACAACGGTAACTACAGTAACCTAAAACATATTGTTTTTTCCGGATTTATTATCTCGATTTTCGTGCGTTTTCAGTCATTTTTAACTATCAAAAATATAAAAATATTTTTAGGTTACGGTAGTTGTCGCTGTGGGACCTTAGGCCACGGCCACCGACTCTTCCACGGCTACATTTTTTGTACAAAAATAAGATAAGTGGAAAGAAACAAAAATAATATCAAAAAATATATGTGTTTGGAAGTCCGAAACTTCATTAATTGGAAGAAAAGTTCAATCTGAATTCCTGAAAAAATTGAACTGTGAATAATTGAAGACAAATCTATGGTGTTTGCTTAGCTGGTCTATTAAAGGGGAAAGGTACCCTTCACTCTATTCACTCTATTCACTACTCAAAACACCAACTTTGAGCCTATAAATCTCCTTTCCTGTGCGAAATATCAAAAAGTAATTAACTGACAAAATGTTTATCATAATATCAGAAACGTTTTATCAGTTACAATTTTTCAATATCTTTTACAGGAATCGAGATAACAACCCAAAAAAGAAACTTGTTTCCTTAACAAAAATTTCAAGCCTAGCAATAAACTGTAACAGTAACTCAATGTCGAAAGAGAGTGAGTTACGAAGGTAAGAGTGCGGCAAAAGTCAAAGTTAAGAGGGTGGATTCATATGTGTGTGTATGCTCTTTTTCCTTACTTTTTCCCTCTTCCACCTACCGTGATCCAACCGGTCTTTTCCCGTTCTTCGCACCGTTGACAAATATTACTGTCCGCACACATATCACACAGAAAAAATGAAGAGAGATGAAGTGTTTCGAAACACCTTTTAGATTTCATGCTAATTATTATTGATATTGGATCAGTATCAAAAAGTATTTTGTTAATCGAAAAGATTTTGCTTTGGCTTTGATGTCCACATTTACTATTAGTTTTGAAAAGGAGACACCTTGGGAGAAAGAAAATAAATTACAAAAGTTGTTGTGGCACCCACAGAGCATATGCCTGCACATCGGAAATTAGAATGTTTTATGAATCCGACGAGTCTTCTGATCTGGGAATGAAAATCATTAAAACAAATAAACAGGTTCATAACCTGTTCGGTTATGATGTTCAAGCTACTGCAAGTTACTACAAGGCAGATCAAACATCGCGCTAATTGTAACGAAAACAGAAGTCAGAAACTTTAAACAGAAAATGTGGACGATTTACGTTTAAAAAATAATTCTTTCAGTTGCCTTCAATTTCGTGTTAATGAAGAAGACCGGAATGATTTGCTGGAAAATGTCATACTTTCAAAAGTTTTCTGATTCGAGAGACCACATGAGAATGTGAGGAAAAAACTACTGTAAAACCTGTATTAGAAGATCCGGCCTCTCTGCTGTTCCAAGGTACCTCCGGAGGGCCCTTCTATTACAGGGGCTCTTCTACTTTTACAAACCCCTCTCGGAGGGCACTTCTATCAGAGGGACTCTTCAATGAACTGGAGCTTCAGGGCTGAAACGGGCCGGGACTTGTCTTGAAAATTCTGAAAGAGTCACTTTCATCCACCGTAAAACCTGTACCAGAACAGCTCCTTTGAAAGAAGGGACCTTCGTAATAGAAGGGACCTTCGTAATAGAAGGGCACCCTTAAAAAAAATCATTTTAAGTTTGTTTGTAGCTTTAGAAAATTCGGAATTTGAAAGAATGGTTGCTTCATATTTTCTCAGAAGAAGTGTTAAAAAGTGTCACAAAATGACAGGCGGATGAAACTCAAAAAACTATAATTTCGTTGGGTTCTCAATAGTCACCTCGTAAAACACAGGATGTCAACCATCTGGATGTCCAATAAGCCACGCCTACAATTTCTTTTTGACCATTTTACTTTTTTCTTTTTACAGTTTTTTCTTTTTCATCTAATTTCCACTATATTGACCAGTCATCCAATATCTCTAGACCCTCCTTTCAGGTCTTATTTTGGTCCAAACTTACTATTAGGTAGATCAAAAATAGTGGCGCGCAGTATTGGCTATTACATTTTCTATCTACCATATTTTTCTCCTTTTTACAATTCCCCTGATTGGACTCAACTTGGACTCAGAATTTGGTAATTACTGTTACAGAATTGGAACTTTTGGCTCTTCATTTTCTTTCCGTTTTTCCGATTTCATGGTTTTGAGCTAGGAGAGAGAGAGAGAGGACCAAAACGGTCTTCTGTCTTTCTTCTTTCCGATTTCTGCTGTTTTTTCATTGTTGGACATTTTTGGATAAAAACAATATCTTCAAGATCTCGAACTTTCTCTAACTCTCTAACTTTCCCTTCTCTTCATACTTGTAACGGGCCGGGCCGGGATTTTTCGCGAATTTCGGAGGCCCAGCTCCTGCCGAGCTCTTTCAGTACCTATCTCAACATTTTTGGAACGTTTGATATTCGAAATTTTGAATATTTGAATCTCCCATTCTAATCCCTCTATTGTTCTCTTTTGACATGATTGATTGACAATCTGAAGACGGAACGGGTCAAGGATTGTCTAGAATAACATTTTTCCCCAGAGGGTCATTTGTTGGCGCGCGTCGCGGTCGCGTAGCGTACGCTGTCTTCTTGCAAATGAGTCTTCGTATTCAGTCTCCTGCTTCTCTCATTTTCTCCCTCCTGCCCTGCTCCTCCCCTGCTCCTGCCCTGCTCCTCCCCTGCTCCTGCCCTGCTCCTCCCCTGCTCCTGCCCTGCTCCTCCCCTGCTCCTGCCCTGCTCCTCCCCTGCTCCTGCCCTGCTCCTACCCTGCTCCTGCCCTGCTCCTGCCGTGCTCCTGCCCTGCTCCTGCCCTGCTCCTGCCCTGCTTCTGGCCTGCCCTGCTCCTGCCCTGCTCCTGCCCTGCTCCTGCCCTGCTCCTGCCCTGCTCCTGCCCTGCTCCTGCCCTGCTCCTGCCCTGCTCCTGCCCTGCTCCTGCCCTGCTCCTGCCCTGCTCCTGCCCTGCTCCTGCCCTGCTCCTGCCCTGCTCCTGCCCTGCTCCTGCCCTGCTCCTGCCCTGCTCCTGCCCTGCTCCTGCCCTGCTCCTGCCCTGCTCCTGCCCTGCCCTGCTCCTGCCCTGATCTTGCCCTGATCTTTTCTTGCAAATGAGTCTTCGTATTCAGTCTCCTGCTTCTCTCATTTTCTCCCTCCTGCCCTGCTCCTCCCCACCATCTCGCCTCATAAGCCAAGCCCCTATTCCCACTCCTTCTCGACCGCTCGTCATTCTCTTTTCATTCATTTCGTCCGTTCAGTTTTCTTCTTCTTGTTTTCTTAACTCTCCCCCATCATCCCGGTTACATTTTCAGTCTCCTGCTTCTCTCATTTTCTTTCTCTTACCCTGATATTGTCCTGATCTTCCTTTGCTCTTTCCCTGGTCTTTTCCGGCCCCTCCTCCTGCCCTCATCTCAAAGTTTTTGGAATGTTTGATATTCGAATATTTGAATATTCAATTCTATGCCATCTATTGTTTTCTGATGACCTGATCGATTTACAATGCAAAAAGGGGACTGGATCAAGACTTGATCAAGACCTTCCCGAGAGGTCATTTGTTGGCGCGCGCGTCGTGGTCGCGTAGCGTGCGCTGGTCTCTTGCAGATGCGTCCTCGTATTCAGTTTTTTCCTGCCGTCTTTTCTCATTTTCCCAGCCCTTGCCCTGCACTTGCCCTGCACTAGCCCTGCACTTGCCCTGCACTTGCCCTGCACTTGCCCTGCACTAGCCCTGCACTTGCCATGCACTTGCCATGCACTTGCCCTGCACTTGTTCTGCTCTCGTCCGTTCTTGCTCCGATGTTGCCCTTCTAGTGCCTTGCTGTTGCTCTGCTCATGCCCAGCTCTTGCCTTGGTCTCGCCCCACTCTTGCTCGGCCGCTGCCCTGCGCTTGTCCTGCTCTTGCCCTTATCTATCTCAAAATTTTTTAAATGTTTGTTATTTGAACCAAACAGACGCGCGCCAATCTTGAGTATTTGGATATTTGAATAATCCAAGACTCTTAACATTTGTTTTTTTTTGGCATTTTGGAACAAATGAAAATCTTGCTCATCGGAGAAAACATTGGGGTCGACATGTGCCAGATAATCAATACCACCTGGATGTCACATCATAAGCCACGCCCACCACCCATCTCTCCTCATAAGCCACGCCCACACTCCTTCTCAACCTGTCGTCATTCTCTTCTCATCACTTCTTCAGTTCAGTTTTTCTTATTGTCCTTCTATCCCTGCCTCCACTCATCCCAGTATAGACATCCACGCCCCCCCCCCCCCCATTACAAGATACTTGTTGGAGGTAGACCTAAAATAGTGCCACTCAGCGATGCACTAATAAGCCACGCCCACATTGATTGCTACCTTTTTCTTCGTTTTCTCCCCTCTCGTTCTTCTTTTCTCCCTCTTTTTGCATCTTTTTCCTTCAGTCTAGACTTCCATATCCGAAATTAAACATAAATTTTCAGGTACATGTTGGAGAAACCAGCTGTTCGGATCGGATGGAACAAGCGATGGCCCAGGAAGCAATCAATATAAATCGGTTGAAAGATAAGTTTAAATCTTTTTTGTGCTCTAACAAAGATTTGAGTTCCAGAAACAGCGGAAACACTTCAACTGGATCAACAAAAGGTTTTGGGAGAGGAATAGTCGATTCGTAAAGTATCGAAGGAACATTTATGAGAAAGGTCAGTCTGAATTTTTAAACTGTTTTTCTGACTAGAATTCCTGTCCGCAGCGTACTATTCTTGCAGCTCTACTATTTTAGGCAATACTATTTTAAAATTTTTAGTGTTTTATGAAATTCGATAACTATTTTTTTTTCATTTCAGAAGCATCGACAGCGTCAAGGACAAAGAACAACAAATTCCAAAAACCACAAGAAAATCGATCGAGGTCGATTGGAGTCAAATGGATGTCAAATCAATGGATGGAGTCAAAGGTACGTTTATGAAACTCAAAAACCTCTTATCTACTTCTTTCTCATTTTATTGCCCGCAGCCGCCCGCTTTGCTTCTACCTTGTGTTTCAGATATTGAAAATTCTTTTCCAAAATTTTTTATCAATGCCTAATTTATATTTTCAGAGACTTCGATATCCGACGACCACTACTTTGGATGAATTGCATCAACGGGCGGAACAATGCAAGCTGATGCTTTTGGAATGTCAAAAAAGACAAGGAGAAGCCGATAACTGGACGCATGAGAGTAGAAAGTAAGTTTGAGTCATCGCATACTTCATCACCTCATTCTCATTCTATTTCACCGCCCGCAGCCGCCCGCTTTACTTCTAGCGTCTCCTCCATACATTCCAAATTCTCTTTCCAGTATTTTATTAAATCTTAAATTTAATTTTCAGAATCTCTGACATCCAACGACAACAACTTCGTCGTCAACACATCGCTTCACAATCATATCTAATATTCCCCCTTTCTTTCTTTTGTAACCCCCATTCCCCCTAGGTTTTAATTCATTCAATTTTTGTAAAAACTGTTTTATATTTATTTATTTTTGTATTTTCAGACTGCCTGCTTCTGAGGATGCATAGGTGGTTAGTAGGTGTATGGGTGAGAAGCCTGGCGCCGGTTCCCAAAAGGAACCGGAACCGGAAACCCCGGGGCTAGTAGAAGTTGCTCAATGGCGGCTCCATGACGGACCAACGTCGAATGCATCATCATCTTTCGGTTTTTTGAGCCATCCATCGTTCCTCCATTTGTCGTCCCGGTAACAGTTGAACTGCAATAAAAATAATAATCAAACTGAATTGAACATAAAATTATACCTATTTTGGATGATAACAATAGGAATTCTGAAGCTGCTCCTTTTCCTTTTTTCTCCAAAAGTCGACATCTCTTATCGTCAGTGGTCCCGTCTCTAAATCAACTTTCT